AAAAAAAAAAAAAAAAAAAAAAAAAAAAAAAGAATAATCTTTAACTAGATTTAATAAACCAATCAACAAACCATTACATATGCTGGAAAATCCAGTTGTCTTAGTGCAAACCCGAAAGCCCACCAGAAGCTTGTCCTGTTTTTGAGGGCAGTGAAATTCTGTCTCCTGAGGTGGAGACCACTGAAATTTCAAGGTGAGTCGCTGAGTGGCTTCCGTGGGCTCCAGACGCAAAGGTTTAAGAGTCCCGGAAGCTGTGGCCCTGAGCCCAGAGCACATGGCCCGTGCCTCTGAGGCCAGAGGAAGGGTCACAGCATTGCGGGGTTTGAGCCCTGTGTGGCAGGCCTGTCCACTAGCTCCTGCCCGATGCCCTTAGGCACAGCCCCCGAGGCCCCCGCATCTGAAGCCCTGAAAGGTCAGCTTGAATATCTTATTTTGGAAGCAGACACAAAGCTCTGATGCCCTGGTACACACCAAGAGACCTGCAACCACAGGTTGGAGTCTGTGACCATCGGTCCCCCTGCTGCAGAGTGACTTCTCTCTCAGAGGGCTTCTCTGACTGAGATTCAGCACTGACCCCCTCCCCCATTCCTCTGTGGGACCTCTGCGTCCCGGACCATTGACCAGCCTTGCCTGGGGCTTGGCTCCTGGCCTTTCTGGGGCAACTACTTCACCAGACCCCTCCCAGGCACCCCGTGTCCTGCTTGCCACCCAGCTCACCTTGCTGACGTCAGCCCCAGGGCTCAGGGCCCCTGGTCAGCCTTGCCCTCTGCTCGGGGCCCAGGGATGGTGCGTGGGAACCCCCAAATCACCCCCAAGTGGTACGTGCATGTGTGAGGATTAGAGAGGGCAGCACTTCAGACCCACAAGGCCTGACCTTGGCCAACTCCTGCTTAGGACTTCAGCAAGATTCTGCCCCAAACAGAAAGGCCCTTCAGCTGGCAGACCCAGTCCTGGCACCCACAAACCTTTTCCTGTGCCCACCCCACAGGCCCCTGTGTCCTAGGTCTCCAAACCCATGAGGACCCAGCCCCTCAAGGCAGCCCGGCCACGGGTCACCTGTGACCATGCCCTCTGCTGTCTGCTCTCAGTTCCAAGCACACTCCTGGGCACTGGGGCTCTGAGCATTTGAAGCTTCCCCAAAGGATGGAAGTGGAGACAGAGACCAGCACCTCCGGGGTGTCCCGAGGTCAGGCAAGGTTCTAGACAAAGGAAGTGAGCTTGGGAGCCTGCCTGTCTCATCCCAGGACACAGGTCAACCTGGTGCTTCCTGCTCAGCTCCTCCATCTGCCCAGCTGACTTGATGCTGCAGGTGTTGGGAAAATCAGATCCCAGCAAGCAGCGACCCAGGGACCGGTCCCTACCATCCCAGGTCAGCTCCAGCCCAACCCTCCCAGGAGGGTGTCCTCTCCCCAGGTGCTCTGTGGAGCTGGGGTGGAGACCTAGACCCGTGGTCCTCTGGGCCGTAAACCTAGCACAGCGGCTCCTCCCACTGCCAGCAGCAACTCCTCCCTCTCAGGCACCTCCTCCAGGAAGCCCTCCCTGAGGCCCCACCACAGCCCACCACATTTGAGCTGAAGGTGTATCCTGCTCCACCTGCCTGAACCTGAGCCACTAGGGCTCTTGGGGTGTCCGGGCTCACCTGCAGTGTGCAGACAAGAGCATCTCTGGCCAGAGAGGGGCCTGGCGCTGGGCTGAGGCTGCAGCTGGCAGCATGGCCAGGCTCACTCTCCTAGCCCTGCTGCTCTCACTGGCTGGAACCCTGCCTGAGGCCCAGGAGGCCCAAGGTAAGCTCTTCCCTTCCACAGGCCCCTCGGGGAGGGTGGAGGGCTGGGAAGAGCCTTCCACTGGGTGGGAGCAGCCCCAGCCCATGGGTGGGCTTGGCAACAGGTCATTAGGGTGTTTTTCTCTTTTCCTTACCTCATATCTGAGTCCTTTCTATAATTAGCCAGTGAGCCATGCAGATTTGTGTCTACACAAGATTTGTGCTGATGGGCCTAGCGCTGTTTCCGGGGGTCCTATGGATAAGCAAGGAAGTAAGTGCTCACTCAGCAGGGCCACAGGCTCTGGACACCTGGGAATAGAGGGGAAACTCAGGCAGCCAGCATCTGAAAGAAGCTAAGGGGAGAGAGGACAGTGGTCCCTAGCAGGAGAGGAGGACACTCAGGAGAAGGGATGTGTAGGACCAGGTGAGGCGTGGTCAGAGCTGCTGGGGAGGAAGCAGAGCCAGCCTGGCACAACCTCCCCAGGGCTCCGCAGGCAGCCTGGCCCACGGTCCCCATGGCCTTTGGAACTTGAGCACCGCCACCTGGGCGCTGGCAGCAGAGCAGCACAAGGCCCCCACGGCTGCCTGGGCCGAGTGTCTCTGCCTCTGTCCACAGAGAGGCGTCCCCTGCCCCTCTGCCTAGCTTGGCGGTGATGGTGGCACCTTTCCACAGAGGTGCGGCAGTCTCCCCTCCACAAGGCCGTGCCGGTGGGGGGCTCCGTGAACATCACCTGCTCCACTAGCGGGCCCCTGAAAGGGGTCTTCTTGGGGCTGAGCTGGCCAAAAAACATGGACGTGATTTACTACGAGGAAGGGGAGAACAGCACTGTGGACCAGCAGTTCCAGGGCCGCATCAGCTTCTCGGGACCCCAGCACAACCTGACCATCACCATGAGCCTCCTGCAGCTGGCCGACTCCGGCCTCTACACCTGCCGGGCCATCGTGAACCACACTGTCCTCGGCCCTGGCACCTTGGTGATGGTCACAGGTAGGGAGCATGCCCACCACAGCCCCACTCCCACCCCTGCTGCCCAGGCCAGCCCCAGCAGCCCCAGCAGCGGGGACCCTCTCTCCCACGTTTCCCCCTCTCCTGCATTTCCTCCAAGCCAGCCTCCTTCGGGAAGCCTCCTAGATCTTGCCCTCTCTGCCTCTTCCCCAGCCCTTCCCTGCCCTGAACCTTAAAGGCTCAAATGGTGACTCCACACCTGAGAGACGATCCTCCTGCCAAGGTCCTGTCTGTTTCCCTTCCCAGAAAAACCGTGCCAAGAGACACAAGAAGCACACAGACACCAGGAGCCTGGGCTGATGTTCCTCATCCTCCCATCGGCCCTTGCTGTGGGCTTCTTTCTCCTCGGGCTGAGCCTGGGACTGCTGTATGCCCTGAGGTCACAGGTGAGTGGACACCCACTGAGGGGGTGGTCCGCAGCACCCACCCGTCCAGCTGCAGGACCTGGGGGAGCAGCATGGGGGCTGTATCGTGCGGGACATGAAGGTGGAGGGCAGGGCTGGAGATGCCCTGCCCAGAGCGTGGCCAACCGGGTGGACAAGAGCACATGTGGTGTCAGTGTGATCACGCAGGGGACACAAAGTCCAAATGTGAGTGTGGTGTGCAACCACATTCGTGAGCGGAGGGTCCCCGGGATCTGTGAGTGTGCACACAAGTTTGAGGGTCAGTGTGTGGATGAGGAGGGAGGAGGGGCTCACATGGACATGCAGTCAGCTCCGCCTCTGGACCCTTGACTCTGTGCCTAGGGGCTGGGACAGCAGCCAGGCCCTCGCCTGCCCCTCGGTGCCCGCCACCCCGTCTCGGTGGAGCTGCACTGATGAAAAAGAAGCTCCTCAAGTGCGTCCACCAAAGGGGGTGCCCAGAGCCCCTCTCGGGATCCAGGTCACCAGGCCAGCTGCCTCCTGGGTGACTCAAGCTGTCTTACAGGTTAAGAAGCTGTGTGCTTCCGGGGAGAAGAGCCAGCCCTGCGTGGTGTATGAGGACATGTCCTACTGTGGCCGCAACGCCAGTCCATACCAGTGAGCCCCTCAGACCCCCAAGCCCTTCTCACCCCTCTAGCCTAGTTCACCCAGTGCCCATACTCAGGCAGCTGGGGCAGGGCTCCTTGGAGCCCCCAGGTTGCCGGATGCCTCCTCCAGGAAGCCTTCCAGCCGGCCCAGCCCTTCGTGGCCGGACCACACACTGCCACCAGCCACAGAGCTCAGCCGTGTCCCGGCTGCCACCCACCCTCAGGGAGCAGGGCCTCTTCTGTCCATGGGTTTAGGTGGACTTCAACACGCAGCAAGCCCCCAGCCTGGGAGCCTCTTGGCAAATGGGGCAGGAGGAGGCCCAGCTCCCTCTCGGCCCCACGGGAAATAAAGCATTCCGTCTCTTTCCTTTCTAATTTGGTACTTTTTACCAACCCAAGCTGCTTTCAAGCCCCTCCTGGAATTTTTGCAACTGGTGTGAGTGTAAGGCCCCAGGGGAGGGTCAGAGAGCAGGGTGGGACCACATCCTCTGCAGCCTGGGGAAAACCCTGAGGAGGAGCAGCTCACCGGCCAGGTACAGAGCAAGTCTGAGGTGCGGCCCCACCGGCACCAGATGGCAGCAGTCCTTGGCCTCCAGCCACTGTCGGTCCTTGGTCCCCATCCCTCTCCACTGAGGCTGAGCACAGGGACCTGGAGAGGACTTCGGTGGAGTCCCAAGGCCCCGGAAAGCAGCGTGCACCTTCCAGCCTCTCCCCCTCATTCTCAGAGCCTCTGCTGGGGAGAGGATTCAGCTAAAGGAACCCTCATTTCCCCATTCGTGGGTGGGAAACAGGCACCACCGCTCAGCAGACATGTGGCAGAGTTGCCCAGGCCCCCAGCCGCCCTCATGATGCCTTCTGGGACAGCCAAAAGCCTCAGAGGGCCAGGAGCACAGCCCTCACCTGTTCACACTACCCCTCACCTGCCCCTGCCCAGAGTAGTCTGGGCACAGCCCCAGGTGACCTAACACATGAAATGTATTACTGAAAGAAATGAACTGAGGGGAGGCATCGTGGGCCCAGAGCCTCTGCTGGCCGGAGGGGACTGTGCACAGCATGGACTGACACACAGCCACAGAGATGACAGTGACCCCACACCAAGGAGAGTCCCAGCCTCAGAGACCTGCCTGCAGTGGACCCCAGACAGGGCCCACGACAGTCCTAGGGTGCTGCAGGCTTGGGCCTCCGCGGGGTGGCCAAAGGCTCTGTCTCTGGACCCTGGAAGTCCACCCTTCTCTCCTTTGTTGGTGCATCTGCACCCCAGAGCTGCCCAGAGCCTGTGGGGTCTGTCCAGGCACAGAGCCACATCCTGGGTAAATCGAGCCGGGCTCTTGTCAGCAGCAGTAGCTCCCAGGAAGCCCAGCCCAGCTTCCAACCTCAAATGTCAGCTGTACAACACCACCTCTGGGCCACCTTGAGGCCTCTTCTACCGCCCAGGCCCGGAGCGTGGCCTAACAAAGCTTCCCCAAGCTGCCAACCCCCCTCCCCAGGACAAAGCCAAGCTCCTGTGCTGCCCAGCTGCCCCACTCCAGCCAGTGGTTACCTGGAAGTAGCCTTCATCACCATGGAAAGGGCTCGGCCAGGAAGGCAGCTGCAGACACAGAAGCTGGCACCGGGACCTGAGCCCACAGTCACAGCACTGAATGTGACAAAGTAACAAAGAGGAAACCAACTGCATTAGCGGTGTGCTGGGAACTTAAAAATCTCTACAAAAACCAGAAACAAGGACAGACGACCCTGGGCCTCAGGAGGCTGAGGTAGGAGGATTGCCATACATTCAAGGCCAGCCTGGGCTACAGAGTGAAATCCTGTCTCAAAAAAATAAAAAATAAAAAAGGAATAAATGACAGATGCCTACAAACTCTGCAGGAATGTCTGAGAAATAAATTACAAGAGCTAAATATGCTTAACTTATAAGAAGCACATCAATAAGATGAGTGCTTGAATAAAAAAGATACAAACAAAAAGTGAACAATAATAAACAAGGCAACCATTCAAGCTGCTGTCGATCCATGAAACACCAACTAAAATGCGATGCCTTCCAGCTGCTGGGCACCAGAGGTAGGCGCAGCCCTGGGGCACCGTGTAACTCTCACCTGGGAACCTGCTTCTGGAGCATCTTTGGAATCATCTTTGACGTGGGAAAGGACTGAACCATCCACACAGAAGAGCGGCTGCACACAGTGGGGTTAGGAGATAGCAGGGGCAAATGCACCACCCCACTGGAGCGACACAGGCCGAGGGCGGCCACACGGGCTGCCTGCAGGGTGCGAAGTCACACGTTTATGAAATAGGATACAGGTGGGAGTGTTTGCTGTTTTACATACACCTACATATTTTTACATCTGCACCCATGAAATGTGGAGTAATAGGCTCCTGACAGTGCGTCTCTCTGTAAGACGCACAGCATTATTTTTGTGACAACCATGTGTCAGCCAGGCATGGGGCATGGAGGGAGGGTGGCCCAGGGACCTGGTCTCCCCATTCCCATGGCCTTGAGGATGAAGTCTCCCACCTGCTCCCCTTCCTCCTCCTCCCTGAGTGTGCCCAGCAGCACCTTCCTGTCTCAGCCTCCTGGCCAGCAGCCCCGTGACTTCTGCAGTGTCCATCTGCAGCTGGTGGTCTCTCAGCACCTGGAGCCCTGCCGTTGGCATCTGGAGGCCACCAGCTTCTGCAGGGTTGTGCCTGTCACTGCAGTGCCCACATTTGGAGAGGCCTTGGGCTTTGGGCCAGCAGCAGAGGACCTGGGCGGCTCCTGGTGGCTCCCTTATGTCCAGGGCCATCGGTGTGATCCAGACAGCGGCTGGAGACAGGCAAAGGAACACAGAAGGGGCCCTGGGGGGAGCACAGCTGGGAACAAGTGTGGGGCCCCGGAAGGGCATGGGCACCATTGGGTACAGCGGTGTGGCACCTGCAGGGGTCCTGGGCAAGGGGGGACCCTTGGTGGGGGCACAGGCACCACTGACACTTCTGGGCTCAGTCTTGAGCTCCTTGCCCAACATGATCTGAAAAACATATCACCAGAATGTAATCTGCACGACATCCCCCTTTCAAGCAAAAAGCAACTGCGGAGCTGGACATGGTGGCCCACACCTGTGATCCCAGGGATTCTGGAGGCTAAAACAGGAGGATTGAAAGTCTGATTGATTTAGCAAGACCCTGTCTCAAAATTTTAAAAAGTCAAAAAAGGCTGGGCATCCAGCAGTGCAGAAAAAGCCCCACTGCTGCCTTACCACACTGAGTCCCTGGGCAGAGCAGAAGTCCTGCTCTCTGGGCAGCCACATGCGCTCAGGGCAGAGGGGAGGTGGTAGGGACAGGGGCAGGGGCCAGAGGCTGCTCCCATGTCCCAACCTCCCAGAGCTTCCCTGGAGGAAACAGGCCACCTGCAGCCGGACAGGGCCATGGGCAAAGCCAGGTGTACAGCAGGTGTCCATCGGGTAGGAGTTGGACAAGCCGCTGCCCTTTGGGCCTCACTCTCTGAATTAGGTGGGTGGGGTCCTCGGCCCCAGCAGGTGCTGGGCTCTGGTGTCCAGGCTGAGCTGCGGCCCTTCCCACCTGCCCCAAAGAGGAGTAACCTTCCTTTCCTCTCATCTCGTCTCTGAGGCAACTTCCTGAGAAACAAGCAGACAGCATGCAGGGTGTGTCTAGGAGCCCTTGCCTCTGAAGCGTCACTCTAGCTAACCTCGCCTGTGACCAGTGGCCGTACAGGCGCAGACTGATCGCTGCAGTCCTCCTCCCGACTGCCACACCTCCTCAAGATCCACACAGTTCTCCTGCGTCAGCCTGCCCCTCCGTGCTCAGGCTTTTAGACCTGGAGAGGCCCAGTGTGGTGGGAAGCTGCAGGAACACCACCAACCCTTCCATAAAGCTAAGCTCTCAACAAGAGGCTCAGCCAGGGGGCAGCAGCCAACAGGAGGGGTCAGCAAGGTGGGGAGGACTCCAAGGGCCAGGACTTTGCCTTGCCCTGCTCCAGGTGTGTGGCCCAATCCCAGCCCTGGACCGAACCCTGAGGCCCAGGACTCCAACTAGCATTGTGAGGAGGGTACTCTTCAGAGAAGGGACAGCCATGCAGAGCATCACGTCCACCTCACGGAGCACAAGCAGAAGCACCCACCGGAGCCAGCATGATGACATCTTCACAGGACAGGAAGTTGGCAAAGATGTGGTCAGAACACAGCCGTGAAGACACGATGGATGAACAAGAAACGGGCAACAGGAAGGCCAGGCTGAGGAGGGGACAATCCCACGGTGGGGGGGGGAGGTGTCCTGAAGAAGATAAAAAGACAAACCTGAGACACCCAGATAAAACATTTCCACCAGAGTCGGAGTGCTGATGCACTGGAGTGGAAGGGGCCTGGGAGGGGCGGGACGGAGGGGAAGCCTCGCCTGAATGTGTCCTTAGGACTAGGAGAGCACCATACCAAGAGGGAACTCTAAGCCCAGCGTGCTCCTCGAGGACCACTCTGAATTCAGCCAGACAGTAGAAAATGATGCCTCCACTACTGAAAGAAAAGAACCTCATTCCCGGGCTGCTGACACTAGCTAAACCACAAAACATAACCATACTGGCATCTAAGACCTTAGACCCCAGCACGAGCCACTTTGAGGTGACTTTCCTTTTTTTTAGTACTTTGCACTGATACAGACTGAGCCCTTTTCAAAAATATTAATTTTGAGACAGAATCTCACTAAGTCACTAAATTGCCCAGGCTGGGCTCAAATTTGTAATTTTCTTGCCCCAGCCTCCCGAAGTGCTGGGATTACAGGCAGCTGCCACTGTGCTGTTTGAACTCACCCTTGGAAGCCACCTTCAAGTTGGAAGACACTCTAACACGGACCATTACAGGAGAAATAAGCAATCAGATAAAGTTTATCTTTGTAAAAAAAAAAAAAAAAAAAGACTAAAGAAAATAAGCACACAACTTACATAACAATCTAGAATACAATTCTAGATTATATCGAGACAGTGGAGAGGGGTGTGTGGGAAGGAGGGAAGTGTGAATGTGCTGAGACATTTCTGGAGTTTTAAGATAGGTTACGAAATCACACTGGGGGAAAAAGAAAAGAAAAAAAACACACTAGGCAAAGAAGCAAGTGTGAAGTAGGAAGAGCAGGGATGATCCCAGCAAGAGCCTGACAGGAATACATTGTTTCTATTGTAAGATTACAAAACAATGCTCTCATTCATTGATAATAATTTACCATTGCAATAATTATAACAAAATTACAATAAATGCTTTTATAATAAATGTAAATGGGCTAACTTTTCCAACTGAAAGAAAAGATCTAACAATATATTGGCTACAAGAGACATGCTTTAAACACCAATAAAGAAT